AATATATCATCTGTTTAAATTTAGGTATATTGTGGACCCTAAAAATATCATCTGCTAAAATTCAGGTATATTGTGGACACAGAAGATATCATCTGTTGAAATTCAGGTATATTGTGGACACAGAAGATATCATCTGTTGAAATTCAGGTATATTGTGGACACTGAAATATATCTGTTGAAATAGCCTACTTCGTGACGCCAGAATCAATCAGGCTGAGGTCGATTGGAGTGATAGGTATAGATGTTTTATCATCTTCAAATAAGATTCACAAAAATCTATTAAAATGACCGCAAACTCTACAATAACACAGGGTGTCCCACAAAAATGTCCCCGACTTTTTAGTAAATGAACATATTAAATTTTATCTAATTTTCGAAATATAAGTTTTTCACAATAATATATTCTAACTGTAAAATAATAAATTACAATAAAATTATGGTAATTTGAAGCGGATTTAAAGTCAATCAAAATGTCACTTGAAATTTTTGTTAGACACTGTATATCAATCCTATATTCATATACAGCCACAAAACCTCACCACAATTTCACTTTGTCGGCGGTGAGCGCAACTACGAACTGGCAACCAAATATATTCGGCGGCGCAGCCATAGGCCACAAATTTTACTCCTAAATAAGCCCTGGAGCCAAGGCCAAGCTTCACCATGCATCAACTTAACTAACTAACTAACTCAGCCTCAGAACTAGAAGCCGCAGACTACGCTTGAACTCCGTAATCCAGACAAGCGACACACTGCCGAAAGATAATAGCGCCGTAGGTCTTCAGCCAATGCTTAAGCATGCTCGCTCATAAGTAGGCAGGTCCTCATCCGGCTGTACCAACTCCGGCCTAACCTTTTCTTGCCTAACCTATTCACGCTGTCCCGGCTCACAACTTTCTTGCAGCCACTGACTGGCTCTACCAGCACACTTGGACCTCCTTTCTAACTTCCTACAGCCAATAATGCTGGGTTAGGACCGCTCAGGTTTGTTTTGGGTGGAGAAATGTTGCAAATTGTGTAGGTTAGGCTTCAGGTTAGGCCGGAAAAGTTTTGGCCAATTGCAGTGTGACCAGGCTTACCTCTAGCAAGCTTATCATGTAGCTGTTTTCACATCCGCGTCGCTATGGCTTTGAGCGCTTGACTTCATAGGCTTTATGCCCACTAACATTCTTGTCTACGGAAACAAATGTGAAGCAAGTGCGAAGTTTGGCCAAGCTGGCCTCCGGCACACGCTCAATATATTCTTCACTGGGGTACGACTACCCCTTACGAACGACCATGTAAAACAAGCATACCGAACGCACCGAACGCACGAAGTGAAGCAGACGCAAGTGTTGCTTCAAACATGAGCAGGTGAAGCTGACCTTGATATATTCAAAAAGACAACTTCTCCGTCTCATTCACTGCTGCGCTGGTAATTATGTAGAACCCGAAATCGTTCGTTTTTCACGTCTGTTTTGATCATGCACCTTACGAAATGATTTACAGGCAATTACTTTCAATTTATACATGTATTCATACTAAAGAATAATAAATCTGAACGAATTTCTTCTTTTTTTTTATTAATTTATTCACTTATTTTTTCTTCAGGAAATAAAAGGCGCGGATGAATCACCACTGCATCTTCTGCCTCCTGCGATGTTTTTCAGAAATTGAATCTTCAAAATTTCTCTTTTGTTAACTATTCCATGTAAAATGTTTAGTATGGTATTCCTCACATGATGTCAGAATGAGTTAAAACACGAAGCTGCGCATTTTGGTGTTTTTAGAATAATTGGGGAATAATTTTTATGTGCAAGGCGGACCACATTTGTTTACTGTGATCATCATCACGGCAGGTAGGTAACTATGACTCCCTGTGATTGATCTCGCTCCGACTGACGTTCTGATACGAGTTAATCGATGAATTCGTGCAGCTAATAACAAACGAGTGTTCACGCTTGGATTGATGGAGTCTAATATTTAAACTATGAGACTTCGTGCCGCACGCACTGCATTTGCCACTGAAAATAACTATCAATTAGTAACGCTCTGCGTTGACGCACATGATCCAAACTCACAGAACTTTGAATACATTTTTCAATCTGGTGAATAAGAAACCTAGACTTGCATATGAACCCTGATAGAAAACCTGATATTGCAGTAAAGCTCGATCACGGTACATTTTTTCAAAAAGATTAATTAGAGATTTAGCATCGCTAAATCTTTTCAGCAGTAGATTTGGCATCGCTTCTACTATTCACAGTAATGTTGAACTGATTAATCGGGTTGAAAATTCCATTTATGTTTTGAATTACGGAAAACCATGAGGTATAGTGACGGTTGTGATCAAAGTTGTGATTGACCGATCAATAAGACGTGAAATAGAAATGGAAGAGTATGTGAAATGGACGTGACGTATGAATGGGATAAAGAAGCTGTATTCGTATAGGAAAAGTAATGAATTTAAACTAGGCACTGGCTGATACACATAGTTCGATAAAAATTCGCTATAAAAATCATGCCAATTTTCGTCTAATATTCGTAGTTAGTGGCTTCTCCAACTTGTCGTCAGAGGTACTCACAATAGTTAAGGATTGACTCGAATTTCCGTAATCGGGTAGAGGGAAACATAGACGGATAGCGAGAGGAATGGGGTGAAAGTGAATGGTTAAAGGTAATGCGTGGAGAGAGAACATGTAGAAATGGGGCTAAGTGTGCAGACATTCAGCGCTTTAGCCGCTAAAGGGCCTGTCTATCGTTGAAATTTTCGACCAGCGTTTTATTGCTACTTTTTGATTGCCTCGGACCTATGTTAATATTTTAATTATAGGTTTATTTACGAAATAAACATTATCTTTAGCAGGATAAAATATACGAAAATATAAAGATATAATTATAAACTATGCGTGATGTCCAACGTCGTATCTGTACCTATATATGAACAGCCAATTTTTGGAAGGAAGCAATGAATCCAGATGATACAGCTGAAGCTAAATCGAAAGCAATCTGCATTTTAGCTTCAAGAATGACGATACCTACATTTGGTGGCATTCGTTGTTTTAATCCAGAATCTAATTGGTAGTATCTGGTCGCTTAAGTGTTTAACATCTCTAAGGAGAAAAATTTTAGTGACCGATATTCACTTTTTTCGTCGAAAAAATGATTACAACCGATATATACAATATTCATCGGAGCGACTGCGGCAGTAGATTCACCGTTCAATAGCGTTGTCAAGAAGTTGTGTACGTTAATTGGCTGGCAACCGTGGACCAAGTAAAACAATTTGCATGTCAATGCGCATCACTTCCAAGCTTTGGGCGGAGGCCCCGTCCATAACGCTCCGATCGCTCCGGGTGACCGGATGTCAGTGTCGCGCTTTATGTTTGAGGAGTATTGTTCTTGTAAGCCTCCTGCTATTACGTTAGATGCGAACGACGTAGCTGGGTTATCATTCTAGAGTTGCGCCAACATAGAAGAATTTTTTCGTTAAATATATTATTTCTGGATTATGTGGATACGCAAATACACCTGTGAAGAATTGAATCAGTTATCGACGCCGAGTGGCCTGGTAGCCAAACTTGTTATTGTGTATCCATAACAACGCATTTGCTAGGTCACATGTTTGCATTACCTGCTTGACGACGTATCAGCCACGACAAATATGAGACAACTTGACACAATAACCTAATACATCATTAGATTAAGTCCCAGCCAGCTTTCATTGGTTAGAATTCTGGTTTACTATTTTTGGCTTCATGTTATTTCTGCGTGGTACCAGCTTAGTGCTGATTGCAACCATATAAGGGCTAGTAGTAAATGAAGATTTTATATGTAATTTTTATCTCCAAATTGATATTTTCATAATATGAGTTTATTTATAATCTTCATTTTGTTGGAGTATACCTCTACCGCATTAATTATTGCTGTAGAAATCTACAATCAACTACTGTAAGCTTTATTTTTATTTATTTTTCAATTCCTTGTCCTTCAAGTCAGTGAAGCCTTGTCCCTGCCCATGTCCCTGCCCCTGCCCTGACGAAGCAGCGGCCCCTCAGAGAGATCGAGGAGCCCATGCAGTGACTGAATGCAGTGATAACCTGCGAGTTCAGTGAAGTTCATGTGCGGGTTCTTCACGTTGACTTATTTTACTATTTGTTTCTAAATTCTGGTATAAATATTGATGATAAATTAATTTATTTTCTTTTTGGTTGACTTACTCATGCTTTAATGAGCTTTGGCATTTATGCAACTCAACCTTCATACCTGAATTACATTCTTTAGGCTAAATTTTAATATAGGACAGAAGAAAATTTTAGCGATCAGTATCTTCAGTTGCATCCTAGGAGAACCCAAATTGAGATTTACACCGTAAACGCTGTTAAATTTATTTTCCGGTGCTCGCAACCAAGATGATGAATATTCTGCATTTTCTGAGCAGCACAGCACTATCTAGAAAGGCCAGTTTAACTGAAGGCCGTGAACCGGCAGCTCTGATTGAGTATACTACAATATACGGCGTAGGCTTGACAGATCTGTCAGTACAATCTCCCATCAAAGCGATCTAATTATGCTGGAAAAAACTTTGGAGAACGGCTGATACGAAAAGGGATTTGAAGGCAAACGAAAACACTAGTCAAACCTTGGTTAACGCAGTTTTTCATTAATGAAAAAATAAGATGACAAAAATTCCATCAATCCTAGATGTCACAAAAGCACCCCCGAAGGGAGGTAAAGTGAAGTAGCGGGGGTGACATTAGTTTGTCATAAATGTTCAGGTTGGGGCTACCTTATACGTCATTCAGAATTAAGGCACAGATCGAGCAAGTGTTAAAGGAAGCTATGACCCGTAATTAATCATATTGGACTAAATATCAGTTTTTGTTTAATTGTACCCCGTGCTGTGTAGAGACTCCAGTGCAATTGGTAGCCGTGCTATAACGGCAGCTTAGAGTCCAATATATTGCATAGACACCACAGATCTGTCAGTGTGATCTCCCATCAAAGCGATCGTCTCCAAAATGGGGGTCGTCGAAGTCTTCTTGGCCGGCGCCATCTTGCCGGTAAGTTCTGTTCGAGTGTCTGCACGGTTAGTTTTAATGGAGTACCCATTAAGACGCCATTCTGAATAGGGTTTATAATTATGAAATCATGAATTGCGTTATCAAGTGCGACTACTCATATGGTTTACTTTAGATCAATTTTGGATGCATATTTTTATTAAAAGAGCACAGTTTGATTCTCTAGAGGGAACATAATTAAAAAAATGGACAACAGCGCCATAGTTCATCGCATTAGCCATAACCTCGTTGAGTGTCTTGTAAATGAACGCCTTCAAGCACCCTGCCTCTCTCTTGACAACAGCGCCATAGTTGATCGCTTTAGCAGTGACCTCGTTGAGTGTCTTGTAAATGAACGCCTTCACGCACCCCACCTCTCCCTTGACAACAGCGCCATAGTTGATCGCTTTAGCCGTGACCTCGTTGAGTGTCTTGTAAATGAACGCCTTCAAGCACCCCGCCTCTCCCCACACGTAATAGCAGCGTGTGTGTTGTGGTCATCAGAGATACAAGCTTTATAAGGAACATGGCTCTTTGCTGGTTAGGTTGTACAGAATGAGAACTCGTCCGGTAAATTGCAACGGTTTCTGGACAAAAGTAGTGAACAATTGCGCACATCGTTGTGAAAGTAATTTAAATTATAAACAATATTCAACATCATAATAAAAAACACAAAATGATATATAATTGGTATCAAATTACTGAACAATCTAGGGCAAGTTTTGGCTATGGATGGAATTTGGTGTTTACTCCGTAGGCTTGGATGAGGAATGTGCACGAGAGATGCATATGGAAAAATTATAGGTCGTCTAACGCAGCAAAAACTGCAGACTTACTTGATGTCATCATTAAGCTCGGTACACCTTATTTTAACAAAGTATTCGATATAAATTTCATGATTTACAGTCTTAAAAATTAGAAGCTCAAAATACCATGAATCGGGATCTCAAAAATCAATAAATAACCCGATGTAATAAAAAACAGCATATGATAAAATTCTCACAGTTGGCACCATCAAATGATGCACAATTACACAAAAGGTTGCGGCAAAAATGCATCAGCGACACACAGCATAGCATTACGATCGTAGGGCAAGTCCTGGCTAAAGAATGAATTTGCCTGCGCTCTGCATGTAGCCCCGGGGTCCACTAGAGGCTCCAGATCTTATGTGCTTGAGAGAAGCATATGTCCGCGACACCGGACACATAATAATAATAATAGCGTTTTCAGCGTTTATTAGGCCGTAGGCCTGTCGCCGATTCTTAACATCGCAGAATATTCACAGCATTTTGAGGTCTCGAACTCGCAACTCACTGCTACAATTCTGCTGTGCTTAACCGCCCGGCCTCCTCGCCGATTCTGACCAGAAACTGGCGCACATATGGAAAATCTTTCAAGTTCGGCTGACGCAAAAATACAGCAGTGAAGTTACTTGAAGTGGTTAGTAAATATGAAATTTCTATTATATATGCAGCGATTCCTTATTTGTAGTGTTTCAAACTACAAGTTCAATGTCACGTCAATGGAGTTCTCAGAGATCAATGAATTGCATAATTCAATAAAAGACAAGATGTGATGAAGCTCCTACAGCTCGCACCATCGAATGACGCGCAATCGATGTTCAGGATCCGGTACTGATGACAATGACGCACCACCGCCGCGCAGTATGCACCACTGATGTATCAATGACGCACCACCGCCGCGCAGTATGCACCACTGATGCACCAATGACGCACCACCGCCGCGCAGTATGCACCACTGATGTATCAATGACGCACCACCGCCGCGCAGTATGCACCACTGATGTATCAATGACGCACAGTGTCTTCTATCTTCTTTCTTTATCTTCTGAGGTTTATTAAGCGCTTAACAGGAGATTTCAGTGGAAATCAAATTGTGGCTGGAGCTGATTCACGCAGCGTTAGAATGCGTTATTTTCTCGTAACGTATAGTCATCTTTGTATAAGGCTACTTGCGTATTTGGATAATTACTAGCCGCATATTAATTTAGCAAATCCCATAAATATTACAGTTAAGTTGTGTTCTTTTTCATTTATAATCTTATTCAAAATTCCTTCCAACTAATTTTTTATTTACACGAATGCGTTCACGAAATATTTCATACATAATAAAAGGGATTACGTAATTTCCATATCATTTCTGCAGGTTCTGACGCTGGCCGGCACTGATGAGGTGGTCATAAATACCTACGTTGATTGGCGGACTGTGAGTATTATAAAGAAATTAGAAGAGGTGACTCAATGCCACATATGTACTTAACTTTCGATAATTACAATATTTAAAGTACAATTCAATTTATTTCACATTCTCTTTTAAATTTTCTCTATTTTCAGCCGTGTGAGATATGCAGAGGTTGGCATTGATTTCCAGTCATCATATGAAGAAATTTGTTGCAAAATACATTCGATGGATAAAATTCTTGACAAGAGTCATATTATGCCATCATTTAAGATTCAAACTTGAGATGACTTAAGGAAATTTGTTCAATATAATATAAATTTGTAGCGTTCCATGTACATGCATTAGTTAAGAGCAAACAGACAAGTTCCTGGTCATCAGTCCAACTCGTCCTCAGGGTGTGGTGGTGATGCCTGGGCTGGCGTCTCAGGCCTCCGACCCTCCGATGCAAGGCGTGCACATGAGGATCAGCTCTTCTTCTTCAGCTCGTCCACCGAGATCTGACATTCAACGCCCGTCTTCATCAGCAAACGCTCATCCCCTGAGTATGGTGACAACCTTATCTGCCAGCGCAAGTAACTCTCTTTTGATGCAAGCAAATTCAAACAGAAACCGCCATCGTCGTAATGTTCTAAATTCATCGTCTGATAACAACACTGAAATAAGCATGATATTTCAACTTTTAGATGAAGGGGAAGAGAAAATCCAGTTAAATGAACGATATAAGAGTGTATCTTTAGTGTTAGGTAATACGGGAGCTGGTAAGAGTACGTTTCTTCAGTGGTTCGCTGGGAACAATGACAAATTGATAGCAAAAAGGGAATTTGGGTCAAGTGAAGCGTATCTCATTGAGGATTTAAATAGGATTGGCAACACAACTGTAAAATCGAGGAAAATTTTCCCAGAGTTGGTGGTTCACACTGGAACAGATGATGCGTACTATGATTGCCCAGGATTTAGTGATACGAGGAGTACCAGTATGGAAATAGCAACAACCTACTTCATTAAAAAAGTGGCAGATTATGCTGAACATGTTAAATTGATTTTTGTTGTTAATCATTCATCGGTTAGAAGAGGAGTAGATAGACAAGATTTAATGAAATTACTTAGACATGTTACTGATTTCATATCAGACATTGATAAATATCGGCGAAGTATTGCCATTATAGTGACAAAAATTGATCCTAATTATGAAGAAGTAAACGGGATTCATAATTTAGATTCAGATGACCTCGTTATACGAGCCATCGGCCATTTTCTAGAGGAGGTTAAGCAGTGGTTGAGGGAGCGATTAGCCGATGCAAGTGTTTCTCGTCAAGACAAAAAATTTTGTGAGCAAGCAATGAAGTTTGTGGATATTTTATTGATTATGAAAGATGGACATTATTCGAGAATCGGCATATTTAGGAGGCCCAATAAGCCTGGACCTCTGAGTAGTAATACGCTTTTACAAGAGGGAAAAGATCATATAGAGAAGATAGTGAATGAAAACCTTGCGTTCACGGCAACCAGTGATAGTGATTTCGGGTATACCATATCTGATACGTCCAAGGTTGCTGTAGATGCTCTGGCAGAAGGAATCAATGACAAGGTATCGTCTAATCTAAACATTATCTCAGAAAACATGCTGAAATATTACAGAAATTTAGTAGAAGAGATGCGTAGCAAGATAAGCTCTTTTACTAACACTACTAACTTGTTGCAGCCCGTTGTAACCTACCTCTTGGGCTCCAAGGAAGATATTCAGCAGGATATCAATCATGTTACAGGGAAAATTATTGATCAAATGCAAACTAACATATCTAATATGGCAGCAAAAATTAAAGAATATTACCAAAGTAAAATGCGTTCCATGATAATTCAGCAATTACCAGCTGAAATAAACTTTGGACATGCTCTCATCATTAACATGACGAAAAAGGTGAAACGTTCAAATACAGCACAAGATTTGCCAAGAAAACTTCGAGATGGTGTTTCAGAAGATGATACCTTCAAAATCAGCAGAAACACAAACAATGTATGGAGACATGGAAAGTACTTAATATTTTCACAAATAATTAGCAACAAAACGCTAGATACCCCATCACCATCTCAATTGATAACGCCACTCTATGAAACAGCGACGTATCTCAAGGAATCTCAAGGATGGTACGAATTCTTGACCAAGTTGTATGAGAAGTTCTCTACATATAACGTGCAAAAAAATAGAACGAAATACAACGTGGCCAACATTGCGGACTGGGGACAAGATGATAAACAGCAGGGAATATCAATAACTCGACATAACTTCAGACAATTTATGGAAAATATAAGAACGTTCAATGTGATGGGATATAATAAAATAAAAAATATAGAGGCTGATGATATACGCGTGGAGGATTTGAGGCAAGTGGCTAGTTTGACGCTGAACAAATTCCATGTCTCGTGTCAATCAAATAAACTCACAATCAAAGGAGGTTACATAAGACTTAGTGAAGCAATAGTGGAAATTGGGAATTGCAAACGCACCACAACAGAAATATTTGGTCACAAAAAAATATTCATTGATGAAAACCTTAATAAAGTAGGGAAAAAGCTGAAGCTCGTAATGATAGCCCCGACATGGGAGGTAATAGGTCGTAGAACAATAAACTTGAGTGGGGCTGACGCTCCGCCACATAATCCACGTAAGGCAAGGGACGGCGAGGGGGACGGGGGGCGGGGAGCTGACGGTAGGCCTGGCTTGCCTGGAGGACCAGCTGGGAGTTTCTTTGGCGTAGGCACAACATTCGTGAATGGAAATAGATTGAATATTGTGGCTAATGGTGGAAATGGTGGTGATGGTCAGGATGGTGGGAATGGTGGACCCGGTCGCGATGGTGATTCTCTCAACAGCGATAATGAAAGACTTAAAGGAAATTGGGCTTGCTCTCATCTATGTTCTGACTTACATTGTATCGAAAGCGAAGTATTTGCCATAATACCGGTCGGTGTTTACGGTGGATATCTAGACTGGCAAATTATTTCAGGTGAAGACGGCGCAATTGGTGGAGATGGTGGGGATGGTGGAGGAAGGGGGTACGGCGGTAAAGCAGGTGATATAAAGTTAATTACGCTGGGTGGTGATTCAGAAATATCAAGTATTAATAACAATGAAAGAGATGGAACAATAGGCAATGGTGGGGAAGGAGGGGCTGGTGGTAAGCATGGGGACTCCCTATACGTCGAGTGTTTATTTTCTTTTCTACTGTCTATAATTCCAGTATCATACACAGTCACAAAAACAAAAAAAGTAGATCGCGACGGATATGGTCCATCTGGAAATAATGGTATGGATGGAGCTCATGGTCTCGGCAGCAGCCCAGATCCAGCAGGCATCATTGAGAATAAATTTGAAATTATCAACGATTACAAAAGTTATGCTAGAGAAAGCATGCATTTTGATGCTGGCCGTATTAGGAGAAACGATGTCATGCAATTTTTCCGTGAACTGGATACTAATAGCGATATTAAACGTATGTATGATACGTCGGGATTATTAGGGGAGCACCGAGGCTTAGAGAGACAGTTTCATCGGTTACAAGAAAGAGATTCCGTACTTTTTTATCAGTCATTATTAGATAGGATTAATGAATATGCGAATAATCCAGAAGCTAACCAAAGATCCAGGGAGCATAATAAGACCCTCGCCTACATGTATACAGCGGTCTTAAGCAAGTTATATGATTTAAAAAGTGATTCAGATGCTACATTGATCATAGATATAAAAGGGTACCTTGATATAGTGACGACCAATATCAATAATTTTATTCAATTAAAGGAAAGATATGACATAGTTAACTCAATAAATAATCATAAGAATCAATATAAACACAATATCGATACAAAAATTGAGGAATCTAAGCGTTTCATCGAAGAGGAGATTACACCGGCCATTGATCAAATACATGCGCAAATAGATAGTGAAATAGAGCTTCTTCTGGATGAAATAAAAGAATTGCAAAGAGAGGCTAAAAGAAAGAGAGTTGAATTGCTTAAGAAAAAGAGGGAATTGGAACGGGCGGTGATCCTTAGAGTGTTGTTCAGTTGTTTTAATATTGTAGGACAAGCAGTAAGGTTTTTAGGGCCTGCAGGAGAGGCGTTAGCTCCGTTCGTTGGGCCCTTAAGTTCCGCAGCGGGAACTTTCGTTTCAAACTATCAGACCGCACAGCAACGACCTCTATCATTACCTGCAGGTGTAACGGCTGACGTAAGGTTATTGGTAGATGATATCGGAAGTGCCAAGGAATTTAAAGTGGCGAGAAATAATCGAATAATAGACTACATAGCTCATGAAATTGATCCTTATCCATTGTTGAAGGATGTTCGTGAAAGTATAGAAATAAACAGGCGTGAGATGATGGAAATCCGCAGTCAAGGAGGAGCTTCAGGGCTCGAAGAGCGGTCTGAAGAGCACGTGGCCAAAATTAGAGAAGAACTAAAGGCAAAAGAAATCGAACTAAAGACGAACAAAACCATTGATGAAGAAAGAGCCGCTAGGGCATTAGGTGCTATAGCTAACGTTCATCGTCTGATTCAGATTAGTACTGTGAGCTTGGACATTTACAGTAAACACAGAAGCGATAAAGCAAAGCTTGGTACGCTGGACTATGCTATACAACAAACAGAAGAACAACTTCTGTTTTTGAAACAACATGAAAAAAGGATTGATAATACAATAACGCCGATATTAAACAATATGAAAAAAGATCTCGAGGTGGTAGAGAGAACGCTGGGTACAAAATCTCAAGTTGCGCTTGACGTAACCAAATGGCAGGTACAAAGGGCGCTCAGAGACACAAAACTATGGATGCGCCAGTTAACGAAAGGGTTTAAAATAGAAGATTACTTGACACGTTGCATCGAAAAATTGGAAGAATCTATGACCACCTTAATCCACGTATACGATCGCATACAAGACTATCAACAACAACAAAACTTAGCTAACTATATTGCTGCAGTCGCTGCTGCCCATGGTCCTGATAATGATGATCAAAAGGAATTAGAAATACTCATCAGGTCTAACCTTATCCTGAAGCAGTACGAAACAGCTGTTGATGCATTGAAGCAGTGGGTGTTTCCGTTCGCCGGTCTCTATCTTCAAAGGATTATGTTGTCATCTCATTTGGAGTTGAACAACAGCAACATTGAAGATTCAGCTGCTAAAGTGAAGGAAAAAATAGAACAGATAAAATCACAAGTAGATATATATAAGACAGCTATTAAAAGTCATGAACAACATATACATGATGGGTTGTTTAATAGCATCTATGTTTCTTCCCATCCGTTTTTCGTATGGAGAAATGAGGACCACAAAGAGGAGGTACGCAAGCTACTGTCGGGTGAAGCAATATTCCTGAAAGCTGACATAAGAGGCAGTGCACCGGACAAAGATGCCATTAAGTTTAATTTACTTGAACTTAACTTCAAAGTAGCTAATGCAACCCGGCAGCTTGGGGTGAACGATGACCTTAAAGGCTTTAAGGTTAATGCCACCCACATGGGCAATTCATATTATAGGTATGGGGATACATTTTATGTTATAATAAGTCCCAGTCAGTCCATCGTGTATTCATTTGAAAAAGACGGTAATGGAAAACCAGTGAGCAATAATCGGGTATATGATAAAATCAAGAATGGCGATTTTATGCTCAGTCCTTATGCCATGTGGAAATTTCAGTTAATTCAACTTAGCAGTTCAACTTTCAATCAACTGTCCATGTATAGAGAAGAAATTGACTTAGAATTAGTGGGAAGCGGATGTTATGTAACCAAAGGCGCTGACCTGCCGAACCTTAATGTAGAGAAGTTCTATAGAGCAGATGATGCCATGTTGTACCTTGACAGTGATTTGTATGATCAATACTAGGGAAGAAACTAGACGATACATTGTCCCTTGATACTTCACATTTTAGAACTAAAAAATAATTAGAAGCAAGACATCAAAATAAGGATTAAGAGCAACATGACATGATGTTACAAACTGCTGTGTACCTTCGGTGTTGTAATTGTTATTGAAATGAACTTAGGAGATGTGACCAACAATGCCAGGTAGAGAGCAAACCTGCTGTTAATGCAGATATTCGAGAGGTCTTTGTAACGACGACTCCTATCGGCGCCTAGATTTTATATCTCAATTAATCCTTTACCGCCGTATGTCTCTTTCCAGGAACATAACTTTTAAATTTGAATTATACGTTAACTATTCACTGTAGCAACCCGGGGACGTTTGTCCGCCACAGAAAAAATATTGAAGTTGTCGTACACGGCAGCAACTATCAACGCAAGCCATTTTGCGCTCACTAGAAACGTATCCCCTTTGGGAAGTACCCTAGTGACAATATTGCTCCGGTTTGTCATCTTGAACTGATCATGGACAAAAGCCATGGTGAGCTTTTGTGCTGTGATTTTTTTTATATGCTATTCTTACGCATTAAGGTCATGTTTGATATCTTTGGTTTCTCCTTACTCTGTAATGAATTTGTTTTATACGATTTATTGTGTTCACTGAGGCTGAGAGGGAACACCAGGCACTCCACTGTACCTATTGTCTGTCACTGGGAGTGAACAACCTTCAGGAGTTTGTGTCGTATGACATTTATGAGAAACAATATGATATATGCCTGTATTTTCGTACGAATTTATCGTTTTTAAATGATACTATATATAAAAATTTATTTATTATTCCATGAATTACTTCCAATGGTCGTATAAAGTCAATATATAATTCGTATTTATAAATAGAAAATCCATTCAAACAATTATTTTCCGCTATTTTAAACCACGTTCATTCTAATGACGGAAAATAAACGGAGGCTTTAAAACTGAACTTTTTTCAAGTCGTTGAATCTTACAGGACATTATTTCGCTGCCTGATTGTTTATTCGTCCTCATTTTGTTACAATCATGTTCATAATAGAGTATACTATATAATATTTTAGCTTTGTACCTGATATTCCTTATGAGTGACACGTATATTATTGACTTCTTGTGATGAATGCTCCCCCGATCGAGGGACATGTTACATTTTTTCACGGTGAAAAATTTCAAAATGGTATAGATATGATGATATTGCAGCGCAAATAACACAAAAACGATCAGAAACAATTATTTTTTCTTGATTTTGTATTTCAGGCGGTAAAGGTTTAACTTAGCAAGATTGACAAGGCTGAGCTCGGGAGTGTTATTCTCCTAATTTTACTGCGTTATTAAGTAAGAAATTTCTTGACAGTTTGCTTGATGATTAACAAAACTCACACAAGCGTCCGTAGAATGAAAAAAAAAACCTCGCGGTGGACGCTGAGGCAGACATTTTCTTCACCCGAGGTCCGAGCGAGTAATAGGAGGATGAATGGATAAAAATTAGGATAATTGAAATAAAAGCTGGTGATCTTGTAGGTTGAATTGTTGAATATATGAGGTCAGGTGTTCAACACTACTTAGTTATTAGAGACTAATATTATTTAATATGATAGATCTAAGTTATAGTGAGTAAAAATAGGTTACACATGTATTTTAATTTCTTTCAATTGTTTGATCCTAAATAAGTGTTCATAAAAAGTATAATTAAGAGTATATATGTCATTACCAATTAACGGCTGCAACTGTTAACTGTTTTAACTGTAGTAATGATGTTTTTGTATGCGTCAAGTTTGAACGCGGTATGTTAGCGTCTCGTACACAATTCGTTTAGAATTTAGATCAGCTGAGAGTGCAAAGTGACTACATTAATTTTATGATCATGACATTTATTTTATTCTTTCAAAATATTCCTCGATGTGAAAGTTATATATGCGATGCTCAGGTTGGAGGCTCGGCGTGTTACTGCGACCGAGTGGTCATTAATTCTCTTATGGCATATTTCAGGAGAATTCAACGCATCATGTTGCATCAGGTAACCTTTTTCAATGAACTATTTCTTTTATAAATGTTGCACATGGCTTGTGAACAATTAAATATGGTTTAGTAAAGATATGAATTGTTCAACAATGTATTACGTTGAGCATGTTTTATGTGATGAGTGTGAACTCGATCTTTCGTGACAGTGCGTGACGTGTTTCACAGA